TCGCATTGAACAAAGCAAATTAAACAATTTTGTATTTTGTCTGTATTTTACGGTTTTTTTTGTTACAGACTGTATTTTGCAGTGTTTGCAAGCACACCTTGGTTTGAGGAATTCGATGCATCTCGAAGCCTAATATGCGCCTAACATTTTCGTTTTGGCAAAAGCAATGTCCGAAGATTAGGGCAGTGACAGATCTTATCCTTATCATAGAACACTTTCATGAACGAACACGTTTTTGACAAAAATGTTATCTGTCAATGCCTTATCGTGCGTGAGCAAGTTGTAAACGCAAACCCGCCACTCCTTCCTTGCGTCATTGGCAGAGAAACAAATTCGCAGAGAATAGGTGGGCTTTCGACAATAGATTCGTAAAACATTCGTCCAAGAGTTTATCGTACTCCTTTGATGATTAATCTGCCTTATCTGTCCATAATGAGTGCGTTTAGACGGATCAAGCTCTCTTTTAAAAACTACTTTTTCAAATATTTCTTTTTATATTCAAAAAAAAATAACTTTCACTATATATTTAATAAATAAAAATTATGCTATGAGCCTTCAGATGCATCCTTGTCTTCGAGGTTCAGATTTTTAGCAAGGTTTCTTTCGAGATTAGACTCTTCTGATGTATGCAAGTGACCACTGTTCATACTTCATTAGTAAAGAATATACTAGCTCCATACAAAAATTACGAACCAGCATCAACCATTTCAGACGGGTTAGACGTTTTACCACCTGTGGTGGTTTGGCTTTTCATTTTAATATTTTTTTCGTATTATACTATGCTCCATAATCAGTCGCCCGTGACTTTTTTTACAGATATTTTCACGAATCCGCCAGAGCGACCACCACATTTGCGGGCCATGTGATGGCGTCAACGATGCGAAAAGGTTAGGGTTTGGATCTGAGTCAAGGTTATTTGGCAAACAAAAAATGTATTTATTAGAACAAGAACACAGTTTCATAGGCTAAATTTTGAGATAAAAAAATATGCCTTTGTTTTGTTTCGAGATACAAAAATATGCCTGTTTTGTTTATTTTTGAATTTTTGTGTTACATGTTGATCTTGCAATTTAATTGGTCATCATCGCTAATATCATCAAAAAATTATCACGTGGCCGCGTCGCCCTGGCCTGGTGGATTCTATTTTCACGGTTGATTTAAAATATAATACTACACAATGAATGTCTACGAGCGTCGCATTGTCTTTGATTACATCACTGACTGATTGGGCCGAAGGTGGAGTGGAGCTTGCGACAAACACCCTTGTGTATCGTTTAATCAGAGGAGTCATTTTCTTTAAATGTAGAATTTCAATTTGTGAATTTTAGTGACAGAATTTTTTTGAGCCAATAGACTTTCTATAAAACACGTGAAGAGGTGAATTCATCTCTAATGCCAATGTACTATTTATTCATGGCACCTTCCAATATTGATTAATGACTTGAGCATGATGGTGAATTTTAAATTTTAAGTTTAAAAATTAAAAACTATTAACATGAATAAAACTGATAATAATACACCAATAGATGGATTCGTAATTAAATTAATTGTCATAAATGTTCTAAGCTTCACATTATATAAAGTTTATGCAAATGTAAAAATAAATATTCTCATTCAACTATATATCATTTGCATTCAATCTCAAATCTCTATATCATCTTGCATCAAGTTTCCAGCTAATAGAACTTTTTCTCCCGGTTTGAAAGCAGGCATACCACTATAAGGACATGTCGAACAACGGAAAGCATCACCGAGGTAACACTAACGTTATAACAATATCAAATGAAATTAATATCGGGTTTAAGAAAAAAATTAATAGATTGCACTGAATTAACTTACACTTCCGCAGGATGAAATAGGCGGATTCTTCAATTTCGATTCTACTTCCAATTCCTCTGCTAGACCACAAGTACAATCCTTGCAAGCTTTTTTCTTTCCATTTGTCTCACAATCAGGTCCTTTTTGGGAAGAGATAAGAAAAATATAAGATGACGAAAATCAATAATATCGTCACTAATTTTTACGCTTACTGATTAGTGAATTTTTGTCTGGTTTTACCAGATCTTGTTCGTCTAGCAATTGATCTTCATCTTCAAGTTCACCGAACTCGTCATCTCCGTCATCATCAACAGAAAGAGTCCAAATCGCAGCCTTACCGCTATTAGCACTCTTGGCTTTTTATTTAATTAATTCATACGGAAATCAATATGGAAATATCACAACAAAAGATTTTTATAATAACAATGACAAGAAGAATGTTTTTTCTTTACCTTCACGGGCATTTCTAGGTAAAGCAAATGAAGCGCCGACATCATAAACGGGTTTCTTTGCATCAATTGCCACAATGTGTAATTGTCCATACAACGAATCAATCAACTGAGTTCGCTTGTCACCTGTAAACCCCCAAATATGTTCAACGATATTAGACAGTTCTTCTCGCTCCACTTTAGCCGCTCTTTTCACTTCAAAATCCACGAACCCGGCTAATTTCAATTCAATGATGAGAGTTTGGGTAGTTCTCGTGACAGGAACCGTGATTCCGCCTGCAGAGGAATGTGACGAAAGAAGAATGGGTTCTTTGAGATGCAAGGTACCACCTGGTATTAGAGCAGAAGCTAGTTGTACTAATTGTTTCGGTGTGTGTTGAAACGCTATAGGTGAGAAATTGTTTGTGTAAACTGCATTGTAAGCAGACGTCGGAAGGGTGTCTTGAAGAATTAGAATTGATTGATTGTAGAAGAATTAGTAGGGATTAAAGGTCATGAAGCGTTAAACTTTTCGTTTTTTTTTTTACCGTGACTCAATTGTTCCAAAGTTTTCGCATCAACAACTCCAGTTTCAGTGACTTGTTTTTTGTATTCTGCTCTGGTCTCTTCGATTTTCTCCGGCTTTGTATACGAAGAACCAACTAAAAGAATTTTAAAACCAGGTTCGTATTTAGGCATGTTGCGTTAATTGAAGAAATATAAGAAATGTAAGAAGTTTCAAGAAGATAAGATGACTAAGATTTCAAGATTTCGGTGATGTGAGTTTATTTATCGGATCATCTTTTGCGTTACTTCTGAGTCAAAATAACTTGTTTCAGTTATATATATACGTATAATGCTAGACAGTGAATCGAGATGCAGACTGAACAACCACCACCACAATCACAGTCTTTTAATATCTCTACAGAGCTCGCTACAGATCGATTGACACAACTTCAAGAGAGAGTAGATTATGTATTTGTCTTTTTTCTGCTCTTCATTCATATTTTGCTACATTGTGACAAAAAAACTATTACAATCAGAGGATGCCACTTTTTTAAACCCAATGTTGGTTGGCACTTTATTAATAATCAAAGAATTTATATATACTAATTTATTCCTTTGCATTTTTATATTGAATGCGCGTATTATGATAGCTATGTTATACATTCTACGAGTGTCTGCGCGAACTGAATAGTTGTAAGTCCAAACTGCTATTTATGAGTGAGTAATGTCCAAGAATTATTATTGCTGCTAATGCTATGAAATTATCAATTTATTTATTATAGCCGATTCACAGGATCCAGAACAATTGCCAGGTATACTGCTATTTTTTTTTAAATCGGTGTTTGACATTACATGTATATTTTATTTATTATTGTTGATGATAGCAAAACGGCATGATTACGTTTCACGAATCACCGTAACTTTAAAGCAAATAGAAGTGTTTGTGAGTGAGTTACCTGGAGTGAATCAGACGGAGAGTCAGCAGGTAAAGTTGTTGATCTTTTGGATCCTGTACTCGGGGTCGGGAAAATAATACCATGAAACCTCTGAATGCAGTTTGAGCTTTTAGATACTAATATATTTAACAATTAAAAGCTTGAAGCATTAGCTGACCTCGAAAAGGAGATGGAAAATGCAAATAAAGAGTATTTGGAGGCAATTGAAGAAGCAGGTATAGTTTGTTTGTTTGTTATCAATTCACTAAGCATCGATTTGATTTAACATTCATTTATTTTAAAAAATAAAAGAAAACCTGATGACACAGGTGAAGCAGGCTATTCAGGCCATATTCGCGGATCAAGTCACTTACGCTTCCACTACTACAACTAGCGATGACAATAATAACGCTGTTACTAGTACTGATAATTCTTTCCTAAAAGATGAATTAATGCATGAATGAATTTTATATTTTTAGCATCGAAGAGATTGGCTTGTCTCTTGCAAGAGAAAGAACCTTTAGACTGTGTAAATATGTAACATTTAATTTTTCATTAATATTCTTTGACAAGAGTAAAAATCAATATTGCGCGTATACGCACTTTTAATTTAGAGTTAATAATCATTTCCTATATAATATATTCACGGTTTTATTAAGTGTTCCTGTTTAACAACGCGTTTGATTAAATAGTGAAAGTGAAATGGCAGATACAAAGAATTTCAGGATTTCGAGAATTTAGGAACAATCAATTTTTTTGTGTTAATGAAAATTTCCATAATAATATATGAGAGTTGCATATCTTCGATGAGTAAATGACGGCTATGGCCCGTGCAATAACTTTATAATAAATAATGTTTGTTTGATACTCATACTATTGCGATTTTTTGGGTAATGTTACTGTTATTTTTGGTGGTACATCAATCTATAAATATTTTATATATATATATATATATGTGTGTGTGTGTGTGTGTGTATAGCAATTGTGTGTTATTGGTGTATACCACATCTAATTTTGCAATAAAATAAAAATATACCGGGTGCAAAGAAAATTATAACCAAACCACCGCCATATTTTCACATTTTATTCCACTTCATATATAATAAGAATGACCATTAAAAAATCACACACATGAAATCAAACAAATCCCTACACCAGGATCTCATTCAACAACGCCTCGTCAGGATTCAATGCGCGGAACAAATCAAAATTAAAACTACCCTCTTCGGGCATCAACCGCGCACACATCTTATCGATAGCAATCACCGAGAGACACGTCTGCACGTACGCGTCAATCAAATCGTCGACGCCGAGACCAAGTTGATTGAAATCTTTGCGGTCCATCAGTAATAGACGTTCTGGCTCTGATGACCATTCACCGTCTGGTTTTTTTATTGTGAGGTTTGTGCCGAGCATTTCCCAGGACGTGACTTGTTACAATCAAAAATAAAATCAATTTAGTATATAGCGGCAAGAGGAACAACCATTTATAAATATTTGAATATAAATCATACATACTCGACAGGTCATCTTGCAAATTACCCAATAATGGTTTTCGTGCCCTCCGTGAATAAAGACACACGGGGCGAAAACCGTTCTTGTTAGCAGTGACCATCATACGCAAATCCGTGACGTAGGTGTGATTACGTCTGTTTGGAATAGTGCCAACATGATAGAATCTGCCAGCTCTTGTCATTGACGACCACGACGCATTCCCGACTAGTGATTGTACAAGGAATTTGTCGTAATGATGATCTTGGTCTAGAAAGTATTGTAGTTCTTGAGGATTTGTGATTGTGTATACGCCTTGACCTGTTTCGTAATATATAATATGTTACGAAAAATCATCTTTATACGAAATCAGAAATGTTTAAGAATCACACACCTGCGTTACTATAAGGTACTTTTATTACAGCATGACTACCCATGCTATGCAACCATAAAGGAATCTCACTCTTTGTGACATTATTGATCGTCTCTGGCATACGAACGGCTAACCCGGAATCTAATAATTCTGCATTAAAGAATTCATAGGCTCGCGCGGCAAGCATTTTATTTCGACCACCTGCCAGACATGAGATTATTTGATTCATCACGAATGTGCGTGTGTTGAGAGGAATTCGACTCCATGGTTTTTGTGTAACGTAGCGGAAGCAAGCACGAATAGAGCGCCATTCTACATGATTAAATAATAATACTCAATTGACTTGTTTGGTAATAATTAATTAAAAATAAACAATTTAGATCGTTTCATACCTCCATTAACATCCCTGACATGCAACACACGATCAATCCACTTCACCGGTGGATCATCATCATTAATATGGTACTCGGCATACCAAATTTTTTCCTTAGAAATTTCCGCCAGCACAGCCGCGTACCCCGACGCCTCCATATAATTTTTATCACAGATGACCGCCAAGTCGCCCAACGATGGATCGGCCTTCTCCAGTACTTCCTGAAACGCCGACTCAAGAACAACTCGGTACCCGCCAAATTCTTCAGTTTCCGATAACAGTGGCATTGATTTCTGTCCGGATGGGCATGAATTCGTCTCGACGATGATCATCTGGCGTTGTCCCGACGATGTAGTGACATTGAAAAGATCAGAACCTTTTTTTTTAATCGTGATGAGATGATGAGGAAGAAATCAGTATAATTATGTATTCAGCCGATCTCTAACATTGTATGCGAAATTACGCAATGTTTGTTTGTAACCCTTGTTCAGATCGACAATTGATTTTTTGTGATACCATAAAGTTACTAGGTAACATATACTTACCAGCCCAGCGAAAGTGTTTCGGTTGGTAGCTCAAACATTCGACGAGCTTCTGAACTTTTACTTGAGGGTTTAGGTGTGTATAACGCGCGATAATACGCTCGTTGCCTAGTTGTAAGAAACTGGCGACCAGCGGATGTATTGTAGCGTTTAGAACACGTGGATAAAAGTGTCGTTCTGATTCGAATTCACCTTTGTTCACTATTGTTGCGTGTTTTTTTAGTGGAGACACTGAGGACGCAATCTTTGTGGTATCAGTAGTATCATTGTTGTTGATGTTTGTATTTTTATCGGAAGCGTGTGACGTGGAATCAAGCGGCAATGGACTCGTCGAGCCACTACTGCTTTTTTCACTGTCTGTATCAGAATCAGACTTATTGTCATAATGCCTTTTAAAAAGTTCAAGGTTTTTTTGGTTTTGTTGAAGAATTGGAGATTTGACCAGGTCGTTACCGTTTGCTTTTGGCCAAGAGGCAACGACGTTGTCGTCCACGAACGAATTTACAATACTTGGTGAAGTTTGAGGTGTCGTGGGAAAACTGGTGAACATTTTTGGTATGATTACTTTTGGTGTTGTCTGTCGATGAGTTATTTTAATAGTGATAGATAGTGACAGATGGATTGATTGGGAAAGGAAAGGGAAAAAAATAAAACCATGGATTAATTGATCCGTGAATTTATAGAAAGTTAGTAGAAAAGAGACAAATCCTGTCCCTTTTTCACTTACTCGCTCCCCATATCATCATCATCATCACCATCAATATCGTCATCACTGTCATCACTGTCATCACTGTTGATATATCATCATATTTCGATTTATACTAGTGGAGGCTCATAATACAATTGTATATGGTGATGAATTTCAGAGATTTTACCCCTACCCTATAAAGAGAGTGACTGTGGTGGATTCTTTAGGCATGTAAAAATTTTGCGCTCTGGCCAATCATAAAACATACTCGATCCTCGATGAATGATGATTGAATTTTTCTGGCATGATTCAAACATTAGATTAAGTCGTGGTCGAGATTTCTCACACAGCACGCAGATATCCATGCTATATTTCCCGTTTACTAATTGGTCGCCCGTGATATTTTACCAGATCAGAGTTTATTTTCTGGTAAAATATCACTATTACGTAACACCGGGATATATCATCCTAAAATCGTACCGCTGATTATTTATCGTTTAATTCCATTTTAGTTTTTAAAGAGCAAGCAAAAGTGCACTAATTTTTTTATTTTATTTATTTATATAGTGGTAATTTTGATTATTCAAATTTTTACTAACAGTGATATATTTATAACATGTGAATGTGATCTATCGCTAATGTGATCTTTTTTTTACAGGAAATATAATAGTTATTTACTGCGAAATCAGATATCATCCGGGCCACGGCGGAGCCGTGGCCCCTGAGAGTTATAGGCGATTAAGCAGTAAATAACTATTACATATAGGCTAACGAATCAATTTTTGTTGTTTCCCATACCCACAAAAGCATTGGCATTTTTATATCAATGCGGTCTCTTACCCTATTCTGCGTGATGCATATCTCTGTATTCATTCACCATGGTGTGCCACTAATTTCGAAACGTGCAAAAAAAGTTCTCACACTAATTAATTTTGTATACAATAATGGAAAATGGATCGTGTGTCACTTTTTGTCTTAAGATTAACTGTCACATCAGGAAATTAAACTGAAATACCGGAAAAAAAGTCATTTAAATGCAGGAACATGTAATGCGTACAATACCTGATTACTTATATTGCAAACAATATGATTATCATGTTGTTTGTGTAAAGATGGAATAAATCTAACGATAATAATTTTTCAATTAAGAGCACTACCTATTGTGTATCCTTCTAGTAATAGACTCGATGCACCATCGGGTCTAGTACAAATTTTAGCTGCAACCCGTATATTATTATCGCGAAATCTTGATCAAATCGCATTCTGAGATACGACAATATTACAACATTTGAATTTTAACTTGAGATGCAAATAATCTTAAAAGGCTAAATGTTTGCTAAAAGACTTTCCTTTAAGGGTGAACAAAGTTTTTGCAGCAAATAAATCAATTATGATGTCTACTAAATTTCGTTCTAGACTAAATTGGATTAAATTTTTGACATTATACATGTTTTATTTATATTATTACTGTTTTGAGCTTTTATATATGAAAGTATTTCAAAATGGCAATAGTGACTGTGTTCATGACAATTTACTTTGAATTTATGACTGAATAATATTTATGATGAGATAAAACTTATAAAACTAAACTAAATTAAAATTAAATCAAATTAATATAACTAAACTAAACAAATTTAAAACTAAATCAAAGAAACTTAAAATCAAACTGAAAGAACTTGAATTTTATTAATTATTAATACTTGTATTTATACATGTTTTTGTGTTATGATAGCACAGTGAATTTATGTTATTGTTATGAAATTATTAGTTCTTTTCTAATTATATGAAAAATTATAATTAATAATCTTATTTTATACTAAAGTACCAATAGCAAAAATAGAAAATAAAAGTTAAACAAATATAAAAATAACAAATATGCCAAGAGAATTGTGTAATTAATATATTTAATTTAAGATAATAATAAACTAAAAATAGAAAAATAAGAAATAATGAGAAAAAAAGAATGAAATAGAAAGAAATAAAATATTTTAGACTTAAATACATAATTAAAATATTATTGTAACTAATTTTATATGACTGTGCTTCTCATTCATATATTTATTATATTGAATCAGTAATATAATTTTTATTTTATTAAAAATATTATATAAAGTTAATGTATAATTATAATTATTTTTATCAGAATAAAATATATTATTTCATTTTATTAAATGAAAAAAACATCAAAAATTGAATTTTAAATATTAATTTATTATTAAATTAGTATTTTTTATTAAAATATCACTTTATTGAGCATAAAAAAATCTAATATCAATAAAAATTAAAAAATAAAAAATAAATACTTTTTAAAATTAAATATAATACACTTTATTTAGTTGCATTAAATACTATATTACTGTCAAATTTTTTGAAGAATTATTATTTTCAAATAAGTTAATATATACAATATTAATTTGAAAAATGAACATGTAATTTTACATAATGAAATTCAGCCAATATACATAATATTTTAGGTACTAAAAATCTTACTATTATTAAAATTAAAATTAATATTAAAAAAAATTCAACTATAAATAATTTTTATAATAAAATTAAAGCTCTAAAAAGTTTAATTTATTAGTTTATATATAACTTGCATATATATAATTTAATTAATAAAATTTAACATATTAACTAATTTTTTTTATTAAAATTTTGTATACAAAATCTAAAGATATAATTATTTGATTTGATAAATTATATATAATTTTATTAATTTAATATTTTATTTAAAATTAATATTTGTTCTAGTTATTTATTATTAAAATTAAATATAATAAGTAATAATTTGTAAAAAATTAAAACAAATTGAAATTTAAGTAACTAAACTAGTTTAATTTTATTATTATTAGATTTAAGAATACTTATCAAAAATATTTTGGCAGAATTTTAATGAGTTATATATTAATTTTAATTAAAATTTTAACAGAATTTCAGTTTTAATAAATTTTAAATTTGATAAAGTTTTAGTATTTTATTTATTAATAATTTATTATAATTTTGATAAAATTTAGATAATTATTAAGAGATTTGACAAGTATTCTTAATTAAATTATAATATTATAAGAATGAAACTATAATTTAAGTTATAATTTAATATTATAATTTATTATCTAGTAAATGTAATAATATTTCTTTTAAAACTAAAATTTTGTGCATATAAGTCATCTTTATATTGAGAAATAATATATATTATTACTAATTTAATATAATAAATATATAAATAAAAAATACAATTATATGAATTAGTCATCATCAGGAAATTTTTATATTTATTGATAATCATATCCATTGGTAATCAATTATTAACACTTCCATTATTTATTATTAATAGAAATTTTAATTAATTATTAGTGATATTATAATTAAAAATTTCTATAATTTTATAATTTGTATAATTTCATAATTTTATAATTTTATCAAAAATATTAAAAATATTATATTTATTATTATTTTGTAATATTAATTAATGAAAAATAATTATTATAAATAAAGCACAATTAAAGTTTTGAAAAATGCATCAATTAATTATTACAAAAATTTAGCTAATTAATAAATTATTTATTATTTATTATTAATAAAATTTATATATTAATTAATTAAATAAATATAAAATAAATATTATACTAAAATACTTATATTAATTTTGTACTATTGAATATCAATTAAGTTATTATAAAATATTAGTACTATATTATTATAGAACTATTATATATTAAGAAGACATATTGTCACTATTTAATATTTTGGATCACATATAAAATATCATATAATATAATTTTGATAATTATTTATATTTTTTTCTATATTTTTCTATTTATAATTTTGTTTTTAATTATTTAATTTATTTAATTTACATATAATTTATCAAAAATACCAATTAATTCTTTTTAAAATTACATTATTTATTTTATTATAATATTATTAAATCTAAATTCATTCTATTTTAAATTAATTTTATTTAATGTTAATTAATATAGTGCTAATATTACTCTAATTTAAATTGTATCACTTAAATTGAATTAATATTACACTTATTATTTCTTGGTATTACATTTCTTTCAAATTATTTTTATAATTATTTTTAAGTAATGTCACTCATTATGTAGATCTGTATTACATTTATATGTATTTAAACAAATATAATTTAATATAGAATAACAAGAATTTTCAGTAGTAATTTTTGAAAATAATTAAAATATAGAAGTTAATTAATATTTCTAAATAATTTTTTGCTTATAATTATCTTTAATTTATTATTTACTTAACTTTGACTTACCCAACTAGTGAAAGTTATATTTTGTAATTTAATAAATTATTCGTATTCTTAAATTATAAAATACTTATTCAATTAATAAAAGTATTAGAATCTATTTCTTTTAATACTCTCTCTTAACTATCTAATATTCAACTCTCTCAAGTCTACACAATTATTATTATTGCTCTTATATAATTCTTAATTAATTATTATAATTAGTTAATATCTTGCCTATCAATATAAGAACAATAACAGCTTTTTGGTGCTCTTTCTGTGAAGGATAAAATTGGAGCTAGATATTTTTCAAAACTGGATCCATCTAAACTAATTGAAGTTAAGATTTATCATTAATTTATTGATATTGTAAGAGAAATAATTAACACTAAACTCACAAAAAAATAGAATTATTTAAACTTCTTCATAATCTATTTGAAGCTGATATTATTAAACAAAAATTTTAAATTAACACTATTAAATATTGATTATAATAATAATTATCAACACATACTCTTCTAAAACCATTTGGATTATTCAATTATCTCAATAACTTAACTGAAAAAGTTCAAACTTTCAATCAACAAAGATAATCTTGATTATTTAAGTA